CCCACAGCTGAAGCTCCTGGTTCCTGTCAGGTGGCCCTCCTAATGCAGCTCTCTCTGACCCTTTACATATACACTCAGTCCCAGGGGCAGTAACCATGGTAAACTTGCCCAGAATATGGCCACAAATTCTTTGACACTTCTACTCTCAAGAAGTGGGGTCTATGTCCTCTCCCTTTAAAAGAGTGAGCACCATGACTACTGTGGACAATAAAATATGGCAGAAGTGACACTGTTTCCATTTCTAGACTGGCAGACTCTACTTCCCGTCTCTTGGAGGCCCCAACCAACATATAGGAAATCCACCTTCCTGAGGCTGCCATGTTGTGAGAAAGCCCAAGTGGAGGGGGGAGGAAGGGAAAGAGAGGGAGAGAGACCCATGGATGCAGCCAGCCCCAAATATTCAGGCCCTACACACTGCGCTCACCCCAGCTGAGGTCCCACACATCACTGGGCAGAGATGAGCCATTCCCACTGCACCTCGCCTGAGTTCCTGAACCAGGAATTCATTGCTTTATACTAACAAGTGGTTGTTTTAGGTCACTAAGTTAGGGAATTGTTTGTTACATAGCAATGGATCACCAAAACAGCATCTGTTCCTTCTGGGGCCCTCACTGAAAAACTATGTATGACAGTCATTAGGGCTGATAATCACATTGTACACTTTTTTCCGGGAAAATGGTAGAACTGCACTTCCCTCTGAGGTCAGATGTAACCTGCTGACTCGCTTCAGACAATGAGACGTGAATGGCAACAACATACCACTTCCAGACGAGAGCTTCAAGAGCCAGCGGGCCATTCACTATGTTCTCTTCCCTCTGACATTATGATAAGGGATATCAGCTCCAGATGGTGAAGGATCTATCAGCCTGAGTCCCTGAGTGAGGATAACATGGACAAAAGCTACCTACAAGTTGCTCATCCAACACAAGCAGTGTGAACGAAAACTAAGCGTTTGTTGTTTCGGCCCCTGAATCACTTGCGCTGTGTGACTGCAGCGTCCTCATTGTGACTAATACAATCAACTTCTGTGGCAAGCTAATCCGGGCCAAAAATGACCCCATGCATGAGAGAACCATTGAACTCCTGAATATTCTGCACACAAAGGACGTCCTTAAGTTAAGCAAACACATAGACCTGTTTTTCTTTACACATACGATCAAGAAAACCATGGGAATCACCCAACCATGTGGCACCATGGGGACACACCTCTTAGATGACCTCCAACCTCACAGAACCTAATGCCCAAAGACCTCTGCGGTTACACACCCAAGTCCTCGCCATGCCTTGCCCAGGCTGCCCCCAGGCAAGGGCTGCATGTGGCAGGGCCGCGAAGGCACACCTGTCCCAAGAGGGCAGACCCCTCCACGGCCCTTCTCAGATGCGGTGGCCCAGGACACTTCCCACCACCTCTCCCCACTTCCCTGCACAACGGGGCAGATTTGCATTTGCAATCTGACAACTCCCCAGCCTGTCCCACTTGCTCCTTATTTTCTCTCACATAAGCATTTCCCTTGATAAAATACTTGCACATTTAATCCCATCTTGGCATCCACTTCTCTAAGAACCCAGACTAATACAACCATACCAATGACTATTATTCAGCCTTGAAAATTGAGCTTTGATAAATTAAACATACAGAGACAACAGAAGTAGCTCTTCCTGGATAAGGACTGTCTTAAAGTCATAAATAACCTATTTTGTACAATGTGATGTTCATAGCTATGTCTAGATCTAATTCCTAAATAACTTATACTAACATGGCATCATTTTCTTTAACACAAATTTTACAAAGAATGATTTCACCACCTCTCCCCCAAAATGCATCCTTTCCTAAATATCCAAATTAGTCTTCCTATCCCTTACTTATCCAAAACACTGGAGACCATACATATTTTGGAATTCAAAAACTTTTCATGTTTTAGAAAAGTAATATGTCCATCTGCCAAATATAACCCAGCAGGTCTGAGGAAGCCCCCTATAATCAAATACATTGATATTTCTTTGACAAAACATACTAATATTAACACAGGTAGGATAAATAACACAAGCCTCAAGATAGTTCAAGAAAAGGTTTGCCATCAAACGAGTTCAGCAAAGGTTAGGTTGTACCACCATATGAATTATAAAAGCAACTCTGTCTTCAGAGCTTTTTGAATTTTTGAGTTGTGGAGAAGGGACTGTGGACCTGTACATACACAATACAGAAAACTATGCAGCCCTTTTTAAAAAACCAGATACACCTTTGTACTAACAGAATAAATGTTCACCCCACAGCACTGGATAAGGAAAGCACACAAGAAAATGACTTGCAAAGCCAGCATGTTACACGTGAACACAGGCCAGGGGACAGGACAGGTGGGGACACTGTCACTTGTCAAGACCCCCACGCCCCCTTCCCCTTTATACCCATAATGCTTTATAATGACCTCATCTCTGATTAAGAAATTCTGTGGGAATATTGTTTATAAGTATTGATCATGATGTGGAAAGTTTTAAGTATGCATTTATATTATTTTATGAGACAGAGATTGAGTTACCTCTGCAAACTGTCTACATTGATGGGATGGCAGGTAACTAAAAAACGTGTAAATTGGACACTGAGATAGTACGCAAAGGACATTTATTTAGGATACTAAATAAGGCTCCTCTGTCAAAGTGAGGGACCCAGAATATGACAGATACAACAGGAGCCCCTATAGAACATCCCTTCCCATATCAAAGGAGAGGATATAAGCTCTCAGATGTTACTGCTCCTACTGGGAACTCCTCAATAAACAACCAATTGTGGACTCTTCCCAAGGGGCCTCTGAGCCCCTGCCCCGCCACTCAAGAAAGGATCCCTCCCTAATCAACTATTAGAGGGACCAAGAACGGTTCCCTTCCCCCACCTTGCCCTGCCTCCTTCTTAAGCCTTTTAATTTTAACTAATAAAATTTTAAAACACAAACAAACAAATAAAAGTCACTAAATAGCCCTGGGAGAAATTGTCTACAATGGATAAAAGCTCAAGAATTTTAATTAAGGCTTGGAAATTTGATCCAAGTTCACTTTGCATTTTATATATTTAGTATTGACTGTAGTTTTTTCATGTATTCCTAACTTCATGATTTTAAAAATTCGTATTTAAATTATGGGCATAATTGAGTACAGTATTAGTTAACATATGTAAACTGCTATTCCTATTCTGTGTAAGCCATTGCCTGGGAATGTACCACTCTATTTGGCACTTTTACAAACATCATTCCATGTATGTGCTGTTTATTGAACCTCCTAAGTCTAAGGTACTGTGTTTGGCACTGGAGACACCTCAGCGAACAAAACAGATGAGAATTCTATCCCCAAGAATCAGGCAAACCACTGTGGAAACAGACACTAAACAAGTTGTTGCACGTTTAATGATCTGATTCCATTTGTTCGAAGTGCTAAGAGAGAGAAGTACAACGTGACTGGTCAGCTTCAAACAGCATCCCTCTGAGGTGGGTCCCAATCTCAGTTATGGATGAAGGGTTGTCATTAATATGCATAACCTTAAGGTATGCTAATTATAATCATAAAAATATCCTGAACAAATAATAACTATAATTATCACTATTATAATAATGACTTAGGAAATTATTTTATATCAACCAGTCAGTGAGGAAAAGCATGGGAACAAATGAGGAAGAAAGTCTAAATGTGTGACACTATATGGATAATTACTGCCAAAGAATTTCAATAGCGCTATTGGATTCCTCTACAGAGGAAATTCCTCCATGCAGGGGCTCAGAGACTTGCACTACAATTCATCCACCTCGCCTCCCAAACAGCAAGAGAGCAACAGAAGGACAATCTGCAAAGAAACAAAAGGTTTGACTTCTCCAATGATATGTCTCAAATTTTCTAAGACAGATTTTATTTAAAACATTTGGTCCCTCTGCCCCCATAAACCACTAAAAGAACCTGGAAAGATCAATATTTTGAGGTTTAAACCATGACCAAGATTTCCTCGTAGGCCTAGAAGCAGCACAAAAATCCTAGTCAGACCAAGTACCCTGTTTGTTTTGGAAAATCCTGCCACTATGCCCAAAGGGTACGGAATTGAATTGATAAGACATCATGTCTCCCATCAAAACCTGCTGTTCTACACAAGAAGCCCCATCACCATGTACAGCCCTTGTACAAAGTTACTTCAAAGTTGCTATAATCAGGAACTCTTGGAGTCTGTAAAATGAGACCCCATGGGAATGAGCTTCCAGATGCACACAGGTGGGCATTCCATCATAACAACATGTGGCAAGTTGTTTCTTGCTTTATTTCCTCCCAAGGCTGGTAATTCTAATAACTGACAAAGATCCTCTGAACTAAATACTATATATGTCTCTTTGCCCAGTAAAGAAAGAAACTCTTTAGATTAGAATTCCAGGTCCATGGGTGTCTCTGACAGCTCCCAGTGAAAAGATATAAGGTGATGATCTATTATACAAAATGAGAGCATCATAAGAAATTTAGAGTGTTGCTAATGAGACAGCCAACCTTTGATGGGACCTTAACTTGGCTTCACTGTAATTTTTACTGTCACAAAACTTTTACAATAAAAAATCACATTCTATTAAGAAGCAGGCAAATGCATGGCAACTACGCTACCACTGCCCCCTCCGTACCGCAGTAAGCCTTGTACCCTCTAGGATGGACTGGGCCTCAGCTCAACAGCTGTTCCAAGTAGCCACTACCCCTGAGCAGAAGTGATCACAAGAATCAGAGTCTACCTGCCAGTCCTCAGGTGGACTGTCTATCTTACTCGACATCCAAAATGCACATTCTGCGACACCAAATGGATCCCATGAGACTTCAGGTGTCACCATTGTTAAGATCTGTGTTTGATATTGCTAAGGACCATGGACAAAATGAGAAGGAAAATACGGCTATAGTCATCATCAAGTCAATTATACTATGTTCACCTTCCTCAGTTTCCATCAGATGTACTTTAACTAGAGAAACGATTACATTAGCCAATCACTGACCTTATGGAGGGCAGGAGCCAAGACTGGTACCAAGAATCCATTGTAAATATAATTGACAAGCTGATTGCGAATCAAAGGGTGAGCCACCTAAGAGACGAACAGGTAGTCACAAAAAAGAGAGTTCAATCTTTAGGTTTTCTTAATCAGACATTTCTGTGTACATTCTGAATTCAACAAGGAAGCCCAAATTTTGGCCATTTATTCCATGGTTAAAAAAGAATTCAGATTTCAAACCACCACGTAAATTTTTCAGATGGCTTATTCTAGTATAGACAGCTTGGTAAAAAAAATTCATAATTTTGGGTTTCTAACTTGAAAAAAAAGGCAACAAGTAAACTGAATGTATATAAGGACTCAAAAGTTAAAATTAACAAACTGTAAAGTATAATTTTGCCCCATATCTTCATCTATGTCCCATCTCAACTTGTGACTAATTTTAAAAAAGAGTACAACTGTCAAAATGGACAATTCATACATTTACTTTGCTAACAAAGAATTTTCTCATTTTGAAGATGCATTTTCTGAAAATCACTTATACTGAGGAGGAAAGCATTTAGAAAACTTTTTCATAAAAAATAAGATACTGGTCAAAAGCAGGAAACATTACCAGAGGTATAATATTTTCTGATTTTCAAAATATATTTACCATAGATAGCTCTTTACTAATACTTTTTATAAGTGATCTTCTCAGTAGTACCCAAATTTAAAAATCTTGAAGTCGATAGCCTTAATTTTAAAATATAATATGAAATATATCATTTCTCTCTTCTTAACCATGCCTGTTAGCTGTACTTCTCTTTCTTAAAAAAAAAAGTCAATAAAGTAAAAGGCAATTTCTAGGGAAGTGAGGCTAGATTTTAAATTACTGATAATCTCTCTGCGTATACATTTGGGAAGGAACTAATAGTTTCATCTTTTTTATTTCCACATACCTTATGCAAGAAATGTTCACAGACTGTAATATTAAAGTAAAAAAATAACTTAAGATGTAATCTATTTATCTTATATATAAATAAAACTTCCTTTGACTTAGCAATAAAAATGAGATGGGAACTAAAGTAATTTACTAGCATTTTCTTCCAGAAACGATTTCTTTATTTGGTAGATAAACAGATTTTAACTAACATTTTTCACCTTACAAACACCATAAAGAAGATTTGATTTCTTAATAATTCTAATATGAAGGTGATACTTATATTGTATAGAAATAAAACATTTTTGATGAAAACATACTATATCATTAAATATATATAAAATCTGATGTTTATTGAAAACAGTAACAAGAAATCTGAAGGTAAAAATCTAATCAAGAAGCCAAATTTACTAGAGTTCAGTGATTGTTTTTTCCCCCGAAGCAGGCCAATTTCAAAGCAAATTTAATTTGTGTTGCTAAGATGCTGCTTAACTTCTTCTCAATTCAATTGGGATAACAATATTCTTTATGTAGTGTGCACCATTAAGCAAAATAAAGTGTTTTCCTTTGTCAACTCCCAAGAAGACCTTGAAGAAAAAGTGCTATAATTTGGAGTACTTAGAAGCCTAAAAATACCTATTTAATGAGTCAGGCATTTAACTTATTTTTGATGGTTAAGTGTATAATCAAAACAGAATTAACACATTTTATAAAGAGGATAAAGAAAATCTACTCATTTTTTTCTCAATTAAAACTCCCCAGAAACCTAAAAACTAGCATTTTCACTCAAGGACATTTAGTATGCTGAAAGCATCAATATTCCATAAACATTTATTAAAATCTTAAAGAAGGAATGTTTACAAACTATCCTTTGCAATGCTTGTATTCTGAGCGGACCATAAGGAAGGCTCCTCTGCCGTGCTCCAGTACCTGTATGACGGCATTGCAGAACTCCAGGGAGTTCATGAACTGGACGAGAGAAGGCAGGAGGAGCCAGTCGTCCTTCAGAAGGCAGTGCCATTCCTCACCCTTCTCTTCCAGCTTCGTAGGCAGGGAAGAGTAGAGACCACTGAGACCAGTTGCAAGCACCTGTGTTCACAGAAATAAAAATGTAAGAAACTCTTTTCCACAGTTCTTAACCTGCAATGAACAGCTCCTAGGTGATCCCAATGCCACTGGTCCAAAGACTGCACATTAAGTAGCAAGGTACGAAAGTCTTAGGTGCTACCAATGAGTTAGAAAGGGTTCAACAGTTGGAGGCAGTGGGGAAGGACAGCTCCAATATGGGAACGGCAGCGCTGGAGGTATCTGGCTAATACACACACTGCTGATATGAGATTATTACCTCTCACGTACCAGGCACAGGCTGGGGTAGGGCTGGGGAGAATGAAAGAGATGCGTGCAGAGATGGAGAAACTATGATTTGTGCCCCCACAGTGTTCGGGGTGGGGAGGAGGATGGCAAACTCATAAACAATGTGTTAAGAGTATAAAACGCTGAGTGCAAATACACGGAGGGCACACACCTCAGTTTGCGGAAGGAAGCCCTGGACTGAGGCAGTCCAGAACAGGAGATCTCACAAGTCAGAACCATGGGGAGCTTTATGAGAAAGATTCCTGCAGACATGTTAGAGGTCATGACTGGCACAGGTGTGCTTACAATTCAGAAAGCACTTTAATCTGATCTTCAAAAATTATGGCCAAAAAAACATGGCAAGTAGAAAGAACTGCAGGTCATGGGTCAGTTAGATGTGATGACAATAGTTCAAACAGAGCTAAAGTGGGTCTAAACTGAAGCAGCTGTAAGAAAAGACAGGAGGCAATACACTTGAATATCACATGTAACATGGATGTAAGTGTGATCAACTGTGACACGCATCAATCCAGTACTAGTCCACAGATGATGGGCTTCACCTCCTCACACAGCGCTCTGTTCCTAACATGAAACTGTCAGCATTTGGGTTTAGTGAGTGAGGGTGATTGAGAACTCACACTGTCCAGTTACCCAGCATGGTCACTGAGAACATGGTGATGCCCGTAACAGAGAAACATAGGAAAGGAATGCACGAATGCCGAGCACCTGCCGCTTTCATCTTGCGGAGTACAAGGCCAAGGGAAACAATGAATCTCACAGCACTGAGGCCTACCAGCTGGGAAGGAACGATGACCGGCCAGCACCCAAGGAGCCCCAATCTGGCAGATGCACAAAGGCAGTGCAGAGAAGGCCCAACAGAAGCAAGGGAGTGTTCAACACAAGGCACTGCCTGGGGAGAACCCTGAGGTTCCAGGGACTCAGAGGAGATGGGGACATTCAAGGCGATGCTAAATCCTGAATTAGGCCCAGAAAAGAAACAGCAAAGTCTTCACAGACTTTACAGTCTGATAATAAGGCACAATCAGGAAATTGTTATAGTGTAAAAATCCTCAGAATATGTAATAGAAAATATATGGTGCTGAGATGTAATAAAGGCCCTTAATCCAGACTTGGGGCAGTGCGGGGAGGGAGCAGGAAATCTTCTCAGAAGAAGTGATGTCCAAGCTGCTAAGGAATACATAGGAGTTAGCTAGAAAAGAGTTGGAAAGGAGAATATTACAAGCAGAGAATGCATAAAAGTTTAAAGGAGAAAGAAAAGATGGCATCTTTCAGGAACTAAGAGAAGTCGATACTTTTGGAGCACAGAATCAGAGGCAGAAAAAGCCTGACAAAGGAGTCAATCCTGCAGGGTTTTGTAGGTCAGGATAAAGGGCTTGACGGACATCTCAGTGGAGAGTCCAGTAGACAGACATGGGTCTGATGCTTAGGGGAGGAATCTGTACTAGATAGAGGTGGAAACTTGGAGCCATCTATATGCAAATAACACCTCAAGCCATACACACCAGAGATACAAAGGAAGGGAGGTTTATACAGATGAGAGAAAACAAAATGATCCACAGTGCGTGGCCTCCAAAACATAAAGTCAGAAGGAGGTGTGGCAATGGAATATTATTCAGCCAATAAAAGAAAAGAAATCCTCCCATTTGCAACAACACGGATGGACCTAGGGGGTATTACACTCAGTGAAATTAGCCAGGCAGAAAAAGACAAATACCATATGATTTCACTTATTTGTGGAATATAAAAACAAAGCAAAACAGAAGGAACAAAACAGCAGTAGACTCATAGACACTGAAAAGTGACTAGTGGTTACCAAGGAGGAGGGGCTGGCGTGGGGTGGTGGGGAAGGTGAAGGGGATAAAGGGGCACAATAATTTGCAATCACAATATAAGTTGGTCACAGGGACAGTAGTACAGCATGGAGAATGTAGTCAATGACCCTATAACATCTTTCTATGTTGACAGATACTTACTGCACTAGAGGGGGTGAGGATTTAATAATGCAAATGAACCACTGTGTTGTATATTTGAAACCAATATAAGATTGTATATCAATGATACTTCAATTAAAAAAAAAAGGAGGTGTGGATCCAGGTATGTTGAACTCGAAAAAGTTACCTACAAACTCAGAGCTGCCCCTCCTTTTCCCATGCCCTGTCCCCCAGCACCCTCTGCGCCCCCTTGGACAGCAATCCCCTGGCACTCCACAGTCTGACGGCAGTCTGCTCCAGCCCACCTGGCCTGACTGGTTCACTCCAGTCTACACTGCAGGTGTGGCTGATCTGCGCAGTCAGGTATGGTGACTATCAGATGCTAGGGGTACTTCCCCTGAGTGACACAGCTAGCTCGACAAGAGTCGGCCTGGGGACTCAGCACAGAGAAACCAGATGACGCCACCCATGGGAGAGAGTGGGGTGCCTCCACACGGAATAAGGTCCCCCAGTGAGCAGGGAGAGCAGCAAGAGGCAAGATGCAAACCCATTTCAGGATTGCAGAGGTCGAAAGATCATACACATTTCTCTGTTCTGTTTCCTAGTGACTTTCAGTCACGCATTCACTCACTCATTAAAAGAAAAATTAGTGAGCACTTTCAGGCCAGATACTATGTAAATCACAAAAAATGTAACAGTAGACAAGATAGAGCATTTATCACTTTTTCAAAATCAGGGCATCTATGGTCCCAAAGGAGAATGTCCCCTCTTTAAAGTATTTAACTCCTTGTCAACATACGCAAACAAATCACTTTAATTCCCGTTTTGAATGTGACCCGAGTGGCTGAGCTGCCTGTTGTAAATTAGAAACCTCTGGCAAGAGAGAACAGAGACCAAAAGTTCTCCTTGAAGGGAAATCTAATCTTGATGCCACATTTTAAAAATCAATTACATTTGCTAACTCATGCTAAATTAACCACAGAACAAAGGCTTTAATTCTGCATACTCCCAATTCCTTAACCACTTTGAGGCTTTGAAGATTCATAAAGACAGGCTTAATTTGTCTGACTAAAAAGCTGGGAATAACTATTCAGTATATCAATATAATTACAGCAACATTAATTTTCAAATTACATACACCAGTGACAGTAATTAAAAATAACACATACCTAATATTCACTTTTTAAGAAGAGTATTCTTTAGAGAGCATGGCTGAGAGGCAAACAGAAGCCTGCCTGTACAGAAGGACAGTGCAGTGTGATGGCTGGACATGGCATCCTGCTGTGTTCTTGCCACCAGAAAGCAGAGCTAGAGAATGTCTCTACTAGCTTCTTCAGAAGGGCAGAGAAACACGGAAGAAAACATTCTGCAGAATGAAGAGTATTACGTAGTCTTAAGAACAAGATTCCAAAATTTTACAGCTAAGTATTTATATCCTCTCTTCCAAGACTTTGCTCAGAGTTCAGATGATTTCACCCAATCCACGTATATTTCTAGAAAACCAACTGTGGGCTAGACACTGTGTAAGGCTAGTGTGGGGGAAAAGCCCATGCCCAAGTCAGACCAGGCGAGATGCCGGAGACTGCCCAGAAACCAAGAAACGCAAGAAAGGCCACTGCTGCACAGAGGCATCAGAGGGCGCCGTGGGAACAGGACAGGGAAAAGGAGGCGCAGCCACAGGTCTGTAGATGATTTTCCCAAGTGTTTAATGGCACAATCTATTTACTTTTAAATTTCATTTTTAACTTAAAAATTAAAAAACAGACCCTCAACAGCTACTTAAAAATAAAATGCTCATCCACTATTTTAGCCTTTTATTGATCCTGGCCACAAAAAAGTCATTTGTGAAACATTATATTTATTCCCAACACATTAAGTAGCAACCCAATATTTCTAATTTATCTTCTCTCAAGAGTCTCCTTAAAAGAAACTTATCACCATAGAAAATGATAAGGATGACAGCAGACAATTAAAAAAGCAAACCACTTCCCTGACAGCAGAATGGCATGGTTAATATCAGACTAATATGATTTTGAACTAGGCTCTACCATTTACAGCATAAAAGTCCTCCAAGATTCAGTTTCTTCACTGAGTCATTGCAAGAATTGAAGAAAGCAATGCATGTCAAGAGATAAGTATCATGTGATAGACAGTGACTATAATAGGGGGGATAAGGACTTGATAATAGGGGTGAATGTTGAAACCACAATGTTGTTCATGTGAAACCATCATGAAATCTCATACTTTAATAAATAAATTTAATAAATAAATCTCATACTTTAATAAAAAACAAAAAAGAGAGAGGGAGAGATGAGCATCATGGTTTACACACAGCCATGTTTCCAATGCAGGAAAGAAAGAGCGTGCACGGGACTGAGCAAGGCAGGGAAGGTCTACCTTTAACTTTAAATATCTAATGGGACCCAGTTAATTTTAGCAAAAACAAAAAGATTTTAGCAGATGGCTTTAGTCTGAAGCTAGCAGCAAAACATCTGGTGGGGACCATTTCATACAACATGCCAAAATAAAAAGCCTCATAAATTCTAGATATGGGATAAATAACTTTCTATCTGAGGCTGAATACCTAAAGGTTGCTTACTTCAATTTGCATTTCTTGATTTATGTATAGGCTGTTTTCTCCTTTTGCCAATATGAAACAAGCTACAAGGGCGTAATCAACAACATGTGGTTAAAAAAAAAAGTCAAAAGAAGTGATAGGCCATATATAGTCTCCAATCATTTGTTGGCCTTAAATTGTTCCCTAGAGTATCCCCATTCTCCCAC